TGTCCGTGTATTTTGTAAATAGATAAATAAATAAATAAATGAATAAATAAAGTCAAAAAGGGATGCATTGTAATAAAAAAATGAAAAGTTTTTTTTTTCATCGAAATCAGCACTGTGGAAGTAAAATTATTACAGGTGCTGATTTTTTCTGGAACCCTTGGCGCACAATAAAAATGGAAATAAATTAAACGATTCTTAGAGAACAGAAAAGATATAGGGGCCAAGAAAATAAAATACGAACATATAAAAGGACTTACGTTCACATTTGCCTCCGTTCAGCGGATTTCCATAATAACCAGGCTGGCACTGGTGGCAATTGCGACCTTGGGTTAAATTTGCGCATGGTCCACATACACTCGTGTTGTTGGGACAAGTACTGTGGCCGTTACATTGGCAAGCTAAAAAATGGGGGAAAATTAGTTAACATAAAAAATAAACAAGGTGGAGAAATGGTGGTGGGTCCACACCATTTCAGGAGGAAAATAAAGCCAAGAAGTTCCAAAAATTATAATTAGAGTCAAAAATGATTGTTTTAACTCTGATGAGTACCAGTACCAAACTGAGAGGGGAAAGTGTTCAGTTCAGGCAGTTTTCATTGGAATATTAAGTTAAGGTCAAGTCAAGAGATCTATGCCGATTTGAGTCTTTTTAGACCTCATCAGTAGATCACACTTGTCAGTGAGCCCAACTTGGTGTTCACGAGTTTTCAATGTTTTGGGAAAAAAAAACCCATCAAATCTAAAAACTCATCTCATTCCTTCCTTTGCAAATGCTTCTCATGTATGTAAATGTTAAGATTTCAAAAGTTTTGTATTTGGAAACGTCCTGAAAACTTCAATGTTCGTTCAGGAGCTAAAAATCGTTAATACTCGTACACGATGCAAATTTTTTCTGAGGATTTTTTCTAACAGGAAAAATGGATTATTTTGTCTAAAATTAGGAACATATTCAGGATTTCAGTCGAAATAAGAATACTATTTGCTAGGGCATTTGACAAAATTCCTGATTTTACCATTTACCTGCCGCAGATAGATTCTTTTGGAAAACACCTTATGTGAACAGCTCAGCCGGCTGATTGTTGAAATATATAGACAAAGAAGACAAAAGGGATATGGAAGGATTCTTTTAGTGGAGGCGGGTAGTTGCAATGGATATAAAAGGTGGGTATAGACTAAACGACGGCAACCCAGGGGAGACCCTGTAGTAAGTTCTGCATTTACCCCCTTAGTCTATAAGAACCACCCATTCTAACAATGGGATCCCTTTATACTCCCTGTCTTTTTGTCTATCTGACCTCCCATGTCTTTTTTGTCTATCAATTTCAACAATCAGCCTGCTGTTCATTTCACCGGTACACAGGGCCCAAAATTGATGCACTTACTTGGACAATAAGTGAATGCCCATAAGTGAGGGGCGCAAGTCATAGGGCTGTGAGGGCCGTTGCTGCCACCAGGCAAGCAGTGTCCTAGCCCGGTGTTTGAGCCATCGTCACACCAACCACACTCGGGATCATTTCGACACTCCGTACAACTGTGGTACGACCCACAAGCGGACTCTCCTGCTAGAAAAAAGAACACAGAATTATCATACCTACGCTACACAGTTTAACTCTATTCAGATCAAAGTGAGATTATGTGTGATAAAAGGCAGATCTGTTGACACCTATGACGGAAGTTATGTAAATGTGACCATCCCTGGGAAAACGAATCTCAATGTGACAAAACTTAAGTCAGAATGTAGATAGTACCACTGCTTAAAAGATTAATTTGAAAAGGTGTTGGAGCAGACACTGCCAAAAAATGTGAGAAACAGGAGTAATGACAGTTTGAAGTGTTTGGTCAAAAAAATTAAGTCTTGAGAAAATCTATTCGAAGTTTCATCCAAGCTCAGAATTGTTTAATTGCAATTCAATTTTGTACCCCCTATTGAAAGAGACATCATAGGAATTTGGCTAAATTATGATGCTCTATACAGGAGGAAAATATCAAGATTTCACTACCAAATTTTTTACTCACAAGAACCCGGCACTCTTTGAGTTTCATGAGGGATACTTCAAAAAAAAGGAAGAAAAAAAGTCCTGCAGGAATTGGAAAATCATTGAAAGTAGATGTTGAAAAAATTTTGAAGCGCTATTAGTGCAATGTAGTATTTTTGATGGACAAACAAACGTTCAATATACTCCAATCTTTCAATGTGCTCAACAAAAAATATTTTCAAGAAAAAAAAGGAGAGAGAAAAAACAACCTAATTTACAAGAATCATCTTAAAATGAGCTTGTTCAGCAATTCGTAATTCTTGCATTTTTGGAAACTAGAGAGTGCACAGAGTTCACAGGAATTTTCCCCGATTTTTTTGAGCAATATTAACCCACGAAATACGAGTCCAAAAGTCCGTATTTTGGGCTCCCATTTAAACGCGCGCCGCTTGGCCCATCTCAAAATGGCGCCCATTTTCTCCGTCCGGCGGTGGCACCGCGCTGAATCTATCAGACCTCTATCAGACCAGCCCATGAACAATGTGCCAGGGCA